ATGTTTTTCCATTATTTACTATTTTATTTATATAGTTTTTAGTATACCCACAGCTTGTCTCATTTTTTATGATTTTCCAAGTTGCTTTACATTTATTTTTACTATTCATTACAAATTTATTATTTGCTGTTCTTTTAGCAATGTTAACACATTTTTTTAATAGTTTATCATAATTTATATATTTATCTCGGTCACAAATTTTTTGGTCATATAAAACTTGTATCTAATTTTACGTTTAGTTCTACAACTTTTTTTTAAACCTTTGGATATCCATGTTAGTTTAGTAAAAAGTATTAGACTTTATTCTTATTTTAGGAAAACATAGTTTTATAGAGTAATGTGAAAAAGTTGAAGAATTCATCAAACGCAGTATTTATGTCAGTCTGAACATAAACTTCACTAAATGAAATGCATTTTAAATATTTTTTAAAATTGTCTATATTTTGTTCTGAATAGTCTCTAGAATAAGAAAAAAATTGTTTTTGGTGTTACGTTTTTGTTAGTTGTTGCAGTAAACTTTAATACCTGTGCAGTATCATGATCAGAAAGCCATAATGATGGTACATATCCAATTGCTTTGTCAATGTTACTAATAATAAGGTCAAGACAGGATTTGCCTCTAGTTGGTTGTTCTATGTCAAAATGAAGATTGTATTTTTTCACAATATCCTTAAGCCAAGTAGTGTATTGACTGGATTCAAGTATGTTAATGTTCATGTCTCCAGTAATAATTATTTTCTTTTTTGAATATTTTAATAGATATTTATGAAGGAGTGAGTCAAGGTTGTTAAAAAAATATTCTAAATGACGTTTGGATTTTGAGGGAATTCTATATATGCAAACAATAATTAAATCATTATTAGTAAGGTGTATTGCACAGCACTCAAAGTGAAAAGTCATAGCAAGTGCTTCAAAGTGTTCTATTTTCTTATATTCAAGACCTTTTCTTACTAAAATACAAGTGCCCCCTCTTTTTGATCTTGAAAATGATGTAGCTACCTTATAATTATTTATTAGTATATTTTTTTCATCACCTGTTTTGACAAATGTTTCAGTGAAACATAGTATGTCAGGGATAATGTGTTTGTTTATGTCCGAAAGGGTCATTTCTAATAGTTCTTTTTTGTGAAGCAATCCATGTATATTCTGATGAAAAACTGTAAAGTACTTGCTATTTGTGAAAAAACATGTTCCTGTTACTGTGAAAAGTATTAACTGTATTTTGAATAATTTGGTTATCATCTGGATTTTGAGTATTAATTTTGTGTTTTTGGGTGTTGTTTCTAAAATAGAAAGGTATTGTGCCTTTTTTAGGAATATGGTTAGGAGACAGCATATATTGATTCGAAATTTTATTTGATTGTTTTTGGGACATATGATGATGTTGTCTATAATCTATATAATCGATGCATAAATTAATTTTTTTGCAAATGTTTTTTATGAAATTATATGCATTCAAATATTTGTCATTCATGTTGATTATTGTACAATTTTCAAAGTGTTTTGTCCATAGTTTTAGGTTTAAATTTAATGCATTTTTATCAATGTAGGGATTTGAGCATATAGGTGTAAGAAAAACGGACACTTTTTTTAACTTACTTATAGCTACACAAATATTGGAATGCAATTTATGTATATCTGTGTCATTATTACCTAAACCTAAAAATTACAATGTCATTTTTTGTCAATTTTCTGAGATGAAATCACAGTGCTTTAATATCTCTGTACTAGTGGCTCCAGAAAAGATTGATCCTGTGGGGATATAAACATCATTCCACTTGCCATCTCTGGTATTTATAAGTGATGCAGACAGTCCCTTTAGTAGTTCATCTCCAATAATGTAAATTAATCTGTTTTTCTTTTGCTTGTATATATTACTGCCATCTGTTGGGGTTCCGCGAATATTATTTAAGTTAGAGTTTGCATCGATTTGTTTTTCGGGTTGTTTAATATTGTTTGTTTCTATGGTAGACGAAAGCTGACGTACTTGCATGTTTAGTTGATTCATTTTCGAGTTTTTTAATATTTTCATCATCTTGGGAAAAGTCTAACTTCATTTTTATCAAACTTTGTTTTCCCTTTTTTTTAACACTTTTTTTATTTGTGGATTTGCATATGTGAGTTAACTGCTTAATTTTTAATTCATATTCGGAAATTCGTTTAGTAAGTAATTGATTTTCCGATAGCAAATTTTCAATTTCATTTTCAGCTATTTCCAGTTTTTGTTCTAACTTGTATGTTTTTTCTTTTAATTCGTCGATTTTGTAATTTGTATTTCGTTGAATTTCTGTATAGCTTCTATTTAAGGTGTTTATTGGGGTTGAGGTTAAGGACGAGTAATCACCTTCTGTGTCTTCATCGGAGAGTTCTTTAAATGAATTGGCCGTATGGACGTTTAATTTATATTTATTACGTTGGGTAACAAAATCCTGATGCTCTGGCGACACGATTTTGGATCTTGCGGACGTTTGTTTGCTATACAAAGGTGAAAGGCATGTATGACATTTATAATTTTTCTTTCTGTCATGCGTCATTAAAAACAAACCGTTGATACGAGACATTAGTGCAATCTAAATGATAGTGGTTTTCACATATTACGCAAATTAAATAATCCTTCCTAATTATTTCCTTGCTACACTTCTTGCATATAGGCGCCATCTTGTGAAGGATATCAGACACTATGATCACATTTGAGTACGACCGGATCAATAACTGTTCTGAGGGTCAAAGTTCAATGTGCGTTTGTTTATGTTGTTGATCAATAGTAGGTACGAATTTAAATTTCCTAACCGCCACTTTTATAAAATTCTGACTTTTTTGTGAATGTTGTAAATTTACTTACGAGAGAATTTCTTGTTTCTGCACTTATCCACATCAATTTAGTATTTCATTCTCAGTAATGAGATTTTTTGGCACAAATATCACTTTTTTCTTATTATCACATTATCTCTTTGTTTAGATGTTTCTCAACTTATATAACATTTGTATTATTAGTGAGCAGTTCAATTAATAACACAAAGCGATAAAATTTCAAACAACACACTATAAATATTTTTAAAGAATTATTTTGCGCCGAGAGAGAAAAGAACAAAATGAAAAGGATATGTTTTTTGTTTCTTCCGTCCGAGAGGAATGTAAGTTTCTTCAATGCAAGAATGAATAGGACTCATGAGCTAGTACGCTTACGACCTATGATTACATAGTTTCCCATCGGGCAGGATTATAGCCAAACACTAGCCAGTTTATAAATGAGAAAAAGGCGGCTTACCTACCATTTAAACAGGATGAACGACATATCCCTTTACAACCGGACAGAAAAAGTTTAGATTTTTTGTAATTTGTGACATAGGTCGTATTTATAGAGGAATAAGCTACCTAGGAAAAATGCTAAAAAAAATCGGAAAAGCCGGAAAAGGTTTTCCTGAAAATCGCCTGCACGATCGTGCGCTTTAGGATTACTTTGACATATGCACATTCGTGCATCTCTATGGATTTGTGTGTATATTGAGGTAATTAAACAACATTTAAGGATTAAATCATATATTTTTAGAAAAAATAAGTATTCCATAATCGGTATTACTAATTATTAATAATGAGTATCAGAAATAGGAACATTTTGTCACAAAACATTAACTTAAACTTTTTGAGTAGTAATTAAATCACAGTAGTATTTAAACTTTGAAGTAATCATTAAATTTTAACAAAAATAGTAATTCTTTATATCTAATAACATTTTTTGAACATTTAAAAAGTAAAATTAAAAAACAATCAGTTAGTATGAAAATCTTTGAAGCAATTTTGTCCACGAATTACACAAAGATTACATTTCAAGCAACGAATTTTCGTGCGGCTTTTACATGTTTCTAATTGGCAAAATCTAGGCGATTTTAGATCATCGAATACGGGTAAATGTTCGTACCCATCATAACGTAGTGTTGCCGACGGCTTCAAAGCTTTTTTAAATTTCCTCGGCATTACGTTTTCCACTTCTTCCAAGCCTTCTGTGCGACGTTTTTCAGGGGAACTCAGTAAGATTTCAGATAACTCAAGACGAAAATCTAATATAAATCTAGTGTTTTATTCCGTCTGTAATTATTGGAAGTGCAATCGATTTTGTAAGCACGCCATGAGTTGACTAAAGCTAAATCATAAAGTGAATCAACACTTTTAGTGTCCATTTCCGAGTTTTTATGAATGTTCGATAGTATTCAACCTGTTGGTCGAGAACATCCACTCCTCCCATGTATTTATTGTAATTTTGGATTATTTTTGGTGCAGTCACGTCAACATATGTGCGAGTTTTCTTATCCCATCTTTTAACCATATCTGTATAGTTTGATCCAGTGCAGTTAGAAGCTATCAAGACAGACTTATTGTCTTCCACTTTACCAAAACTGTAGGGTCCCTCACCATCTGCTGGCTCTCACCTCGATACATTTGATTGTCTTTCTTGAATTTTAAACTAGTCTTATCTGGTATTCTATTCACCATGATAGTTCCAGTGCTGTGTAGGTTCTGCTTTTGTAATTCCTCTATTAATGGAATGGTGGTAAAATGTCTGTCGAGATATAAACAACTTCCTTCGGGAACGCTTCTTGATAAGTGCAAAACTACGGAGGGGTCCAAGACCAAGATTAGTGTTCCCAAACATTGTCTTAGCTCCTTGATAAATGTCAAAGTCTAACATAAGCCCATCACTTGTTGTCAAGACATAGTTTTTGAGACCAACTGGTCGTGGTTTATTTTTAACAACTTGTCTCAATGGGCATCGACCAGTGAATGGGATCATCTGCTCATCAATAGAGTAGTATCCTGGAATCCTTTCTTGCTTGTAACAACCATTTCGAACTTGATTTATCATAGGTTGGACTTTCCACAACGGATTTGTCGCCTGTCCAGGTAGTGCAGTATCAGTAGTTACAATATGCAGTGCATTTCGCAATTGTAAGAATCGATCGCGGCTCATTCTTCTCGTTATTTTATCCAGGGAAATGCCACTACGCCAGTACATAGGCAGCCTTGGGAATACATCCCATTAAAATATGAATACCAAAAAGTTTCTGTATCTCGGACTTTGTGGTTTTTAATTCATTCCCAGTCTTTCTCAAATAATATAAATTTGTGCAAGTACTGACCATTTCATAAAACTGGTCATCAAAGTAATCTTGTATGTAATCGATTGGTTGTCTTACCGATTTAACAGCTCGTGCAGGGTACATATGCTGCTTATCTTCAAACGAAGTAACTCTCCAGCGGCGAGGGCGGGAACCCGAGCAACTCGGACGTTCAGTGGTTGGTGCTACAACAGTAGGTGCTGGTATGGACTGATCTGGTGCTGGACTGTCTTCCACCTGGTCATATCTTTGATTTTCAGCAAGTTCTTCGGGCAAATCATCGTCACCTAGATTGTCGAAGACAGCAGAGCCAAAAAATGGTTCCTCGTCGCCGGAGTCATTAAAAATCTCGATATCGGAATCATCACCGTCGCCCAACACTTGTATGATCTCATCGTCATGTAAACGACCTAAAAAAAATTCCTAAGAAAACACATAAATTACATCGTACAATAAAATAAAATAACACTGTAATTATATTAAAAAAGTATAAGGAACACCTAAAACACACGAACGTGCATCTTTTGATTTGATGCCGAATAAATCAATCAATAATTAACTCAAATACTAAAAATACGTATTAATATTATGAATTGGTTTATTACTAATTGAACTAAAAATTTTAATAATAATATTCCATTGAAAAACATGCGAAAATAATTACGTACTTGAAGCGCCGCGTCCGCCAAAATACGCCGCCATCTCCCACGAGGTACTGTGCCGCACTGACAAGCCACAACTTGTATTATTATTTTTTCTACGAAGCACTATATCATGCACGAGCGAGCGATGTCGGTTACGTTCCGTAAAATAGGTTATGGGAAGCGCTAGAATTTTTCTAAGTTAAATGCACGCGTAACTATGAGCCGGTTGTAAAGGGATAAGCATAAAAGTCTTTACAAACTGACAAAATAAAATGGCTCGTAAAGACGACTCATTTCTTCATGTAAATTTTTAAACAAGCATATTTAATAAGACAACATTAATTTATTTAATAACTTTACTCACAGGATTTTATCGCCGACTTCGACATACATCAAACTTTCCCTTTTGTGCATCAAAATAGCCATTTCTGCTCCACTGACATAGAAACTATCATTTTGTTATTTGTTAAACCCCATTCAAACAATTATTAGGTTAATTTCAATCACTGCGATTTTTGCATGTACTGTATTGCAATTAAAAGTAACTTAGCGATGCTACGCTTTCACAATAACGTTCTAGCTAGAAGTCAGATAATGGTCGGCTGACTGCTAACTGAAGTGCTATAGTTAGTTTCCACGTGAATTCCCAACTGTTATCGTCAGGATCATACTAGCTTCTACTCTCTAATTCAATTTTGCGTAAACAGCCCGTCTCCGTATGCTCGGAAGGATGCAGTGTCTAACAAATATATATATATATATTGTATTTTATTATAAAGATACTCAACCACAGTACTTAATGTACGCAATAGGAAATAAGCTTTAGCAAAAAGAGATATGTAAATATTTTAATGATAACGTTTTTATGTGAGAAGCGGGAAACGGCGGATTTGACGGTTCACCTGATGTTAATGTAATGTATATATTTATATATATATATTTTTTATGGTATTATTTCGAAAATATGCAGGTTTCCTCACGATGTTTTCCTTCACCGCGGAGCACGTGATAATTCAGCACTTAAAGTTAAAAACTTCATTGGTGTCGGCACCGGGGATCGAACTCAGGTTCTTCGAGTATATTGAATTAAAGGCGCGCGCCCGGACACTGAGCTATATCACGGCTCTTAGCTATGTTTTAGCTTTTTTTTCCATCTATGTTTATTTTTTATAATTTGTTAACTAAACATGGTTTTAAATGAATATTCATGAATTTACATTATTCGTTTACTTTTATTTATTATTATGGTATAATCTACGATTTTATCACATTACATAATTATTCTTTCTGATAGCGTTTTTAGCGCCACGATTGGGCTCGAGTTTTGCGTTAAAATGTTAATTTATACGTAAATTATTTATATTACAGTAAAAAACGGATAGGTATATTTATTTTTGTATTACAAATACAGTGTTTTTTATTTTTACCGTTTGAGTTACTACGGTAAAAGATTTATAGAGATTGAGCAAATGCTCAGACAGTGCCTCAAAACGGTAGTCGAGTTAAATAGATTGATGTCTTTTACACATACATTATAGCAAAAAGTTCCTCAAAGCTTTTAAGCAAAAAAACCATTTCTAGGCTTATTTTACTTTACACTACAACACAAAATACTTTATTGCTAGTTATGTTAGATAAATTAATAGGAGAATCGACTTAGGAGCCCGGCACTTTTGTATTGAGCCTGGTAGCTGATAGGGTTATGGTTGGAACTTGAAATTCTAAAAAGCGAATGTGGTCTACGACAATGGAATTTTGACGTCGAGAAATGCCTGTCAGAGCATAGCCACGAGGTCTAACGTTAGTCGTTAGGTAACATGAAATCTCGTTACAATAGCTTAATGAGTATGTATAACACATATTCTTTCTATATATTAAAAAACCAAAAGTTTACCATAATGGATGTCAATTTTTAATAATTTTAAATTGAATGAATTTTGCTGGTAATTAAAATATTTAGTCAGCACTGCTATAATTTTTATAAAAAAAACATTATTTTAATCGTTAATTTATATTGCATAGATAAAAATGATTGCAAATTCACAAACTTTGAAAGCCATCGCGAAATCAACTGAATTATAAAGATATTTGAATTTGAGCTCTATAACAGTTATGAGAACCTTAAGAAAAAGGATTTTACGTGAATTTAAAATAAAGTTAAATTTTATTTAAATATCAATTAGTAATAATTATATTATTACTTATTGATTTTGTAGCTGATTTTCATAACATGTTTTACAAATTGTTAAACATAATAAATAATAGAATTATTTTTATAAAAAAAGACTGAACTTGGATTATTACCCAAGCACTAAACAGTTCGCAACACACCAGAAGATTTAATTCATACCGTTCACAGCTGCCGCGTCGAAAGCACGCCTAAACACTGCTCTACACCTGCTACCCCCTCCCTTTCCCGCCTCAGAGGCCGTAGCTTTCGTTACAAGTGAACACCACCGCTCCCAAGTCAGCTTTCGAGGTGCAGTAATGGATGACCATCGCCGAGCCCGGCTAAAAACTATGTGCGTGACTTGATGAGTCGAAAGAATGTCGATGCAGAAGTTATATGTTGTGGTATGTAAAAACATGTATAATAAAATCCCGCAGTCAATATTAAGTCTGCCACTTGATGAATTTAAACGCAAAGTTAAAAGTAAACTTATGGCTAAAGCATATTATACTATTGCTGAATATCTTGACGACGCCAATGTGTGGGGTTAATACTGTTGATACTCACGTAGGCTAAAACAAGACTGTTATATTTATAGCATTACATTGTAAACTGACCTTTTAAAAAGGAGCAACTGTTGAGTTTCTTGCCGGTTTCTTCTCAACAGAAACTGCTTTCCGAACCGGTGGTAACTTACGAAATTATTAATTTCCTTGAAAAATTCGACGGTTCATAAGAACGCGCAAGCGTCTATGTGAATAAGGCTATTTTATTATTATTATTATAAAGCGCTTGTCGTAAGTAGACACAATGAATAATAATGGAGAGGCTGCATACATCAAATCCTTCTTCACGCAAGATTGTATGCGGTAGGCCGTAAATGAGTATGATATAGTTAGAATAGCTTATGAATAGAATAGCTTATATAACTTAAAGCGATTATGTATGATTGAATTACCAAAATATTCAGCGGTCTAAAATATTTTACATTGCCAAAATTTTCTTCAATCCTACTTTGTAAATCAAACTTGACGGTGGTAGGGCCACGCAGCAGCCTTGGCTGTTGCACACACACACACACGGGTCGTCCACACACTGCCCTAGGAGTCGGGCAGGTGCAGGTACGGGCATCGGGGAATCGAACCCCATAACCCGGGCATTGTCTCAAGGGGCGCACCGTCCCCCCGGTCAATGGCTCCTAGTATCGGACGCGAACAGTGTGGAAATAACGCGTGACTCTAAAGTTTACGTTATCCTATATGATGTACCATAGGCGCTACGGATGCGCGTAAGAATGTGCCGACACTGTTTACTTTCAACACTACATAAGTAATAAATTAGTCATGTAGTGTTAAAATGTCTACAACAGCCGACAACTATTCGTATAACGCACCCCGCCACGTCTGCCACTGTTATGACAACAGATTTCTCCGTCGCCATAGCAACGGCGTTGCAATGGCCATTATTATATTGGCGTCGGTCCCGCCGTCCCGCTTAGCGTGCGGTCTATCATACACCCGAGATAAGTAACGGTGGACTGCCATTCAATGTTTTGCCCTCGGAGACTTAGATGTGGTGTTCGCGTGAGTATCCGGGCGGTTGTGAACGCGGAGGTCTTACCGACGTTAAGGACGATCCGCCATTTATCCAACCATTCCGGAAGCAGGTCAAGCAGCCTCTGCATCCTGCTAATTGCAACTTCGAGCCGACGTGATGACGTAAAATACGCGCTGTCGTCGGCGTACAGTGCTAGGTGGACCCCTCTTTCACCCTCCCTGAGGCGACCTTCCAGGGTGGGGATGTCATTGGTGTACACCGCGTACAGAATTGGGCTAATACAGCTTCCCTGTGGCACACCGGCTTCTATGCTTCGTACATCCGAAACCGAGTTTTCTACCACAACATAAAATTTTCGATTTTGTAGGTATGATGTTATTACTTTAACAATTGCATGAGGTATTGTCGTATGTTCAAGTAGTTTATACGTCAGGCCTTGATGCCACACTCGGTCGAAGGCTTTCTCGATGTCTAGCAGCACTCCGACCGATTTGCGTCCGACATTTTTATCAAAGACTAATTCGTGCAACACACGCGTCAATTGTGTTGTTGCAGAATGACCGCCCCTGAACCCATGTTGTTCTGGGCGGAGCGTAATATGTGGCCATACCCGTTTCAAAAGGAGTCTTTCGAATAATTTACCTAGGTGCGAAAGTAAGGTAATGGGACGGTAACTTTGTGGTAGCCTCCTGTCTTTACCCGGTTTCGGTAATACGAAGATTCTTCCGGTTTTCCATACATCCGGAAAGTGCCCCGCGCGAATACTACTATTAAAAAGCCGCGAAATTTCAACGATAGTTTTACGGGGTAGCTGCCTTAGCGCCGAATTCGGAATCCCGTCGTGCCCCTGGGGCCTTGCGCACCGGTAGGCGCGACACGGCTCGCCACACCTCAGAAGGCGACATAAATGCCACCTCGCTGAGGTCCGGCGCCGGGCCCGACAAGAACTCCAGTACGCGATTATCCACTAGCCTGTGGTGCGCGCCGACCACAGGGTTTCCTAAATTCGGAGGGTTCAATTTGAATTGGCCCTCGAGGTGTTCGGCTAGGATGTCCGCCCGCGCTTGAGCGCTGTAATGACGCAATCCCGCCCCGTCGACTAGGGGACATACAGCCGTTTTGGCTCGAGAAAGCTGCCGGTTCAGGAGGTGGAGCGACGTAGGGTGCTGGCTGTTACAGGAATAGGCAGGCCCGTCCGGGTAAGTAGCACGACCTTACAGAAGACCAGCGTAAAGTGGAAGTATGACAAATACTTTTGCGTTTCGTCTGGTGAGTGAGGTAGCCAGAGCCCAATTTTAAAATAGGTTGTCAACGCATCTGCAAACCCTCGG